AAACAAAGACCAGGGTCCAGTGTCTAAATAAACAAACAAAGACCAGGGTCCAGTGTGTAAATAAATAAACAAACAAAGACCAGGGTCCAGTGTGTAAATAAACAAACAAAGACCAGGGTCCAGTGTGTAAATAAATAAACAAACAAAGACCAGGGTCCAGTGTGTAAATAAATAAACAAACAAAGACCAGGGTCCAGTGTGTAAATAAACAAACAAACAAAGACCAGGGTCCAGTGTGTAAATAAACAAACAAACAAAGACCAGGGTCCAGTGTGTAAATAAACAAACAAACAAAGACCAGGGTCCAGCGTGTAAACAAACAGTGCCCTCCAGCTGCAGCCCTGACCTCTGACCTCTGACCTCTACACGTACTCCTGCAGAGGGACACTGTTGGAGGCGATGGGTTTGATGGGATCCGGCGCCGGCGAGTTGGCGAAGCTCCGCCCGATGTATCCGCGGCGGTAGCGGCCGCCCCGCTCCATCAGGGGGCAGGTGCTGCTCAGCACGGCGCCGCTGATCATCAGGATGACGGCGGCGGCCCAGCCCAGGTAGATGGCCTGGCCCAGCTCCCGCTTGTGCATGGTGGGCACGTTGGGGTTGTAGAAGTCCTGGATCACCGTGTTGGCGGTCCAGGAGACGGGGATCAGAACGCACAGACCCGTGAGGATGAAGAGGATCCCGCCCGCCAGCGCGATGCCGGCCTTGGCGCGGCGGTCGTCGCCGGCGCAGGTGGTGCACTTCATGCCGCAGCAAGACACGGTGCAGGACAGCCAGCCCATGAAGATGGCGAGGCACATGAGGGCGCGGGCGGCCTGGATGTCGGGCGGCAGCGCCAACATGGAGTCGTAGGTCTTACACTGCATGTGACCCGTGGTCTGGTAGATGCAGTTCATCCAGATCCCCTCCCACTTCATCTCCGAGGTCAGGATGTTGTTCCCGATGAAGGCCGACACCTTCCACTGAGGCAACGCCGTCACCGCGATGGCCATGATCCAGCCTGTCACCGCGCACGTGAAGCTGATCAGCTGCATGCCCGTGTTCACCATGACCGCTGAGGTCCTGCTAGGGTCTACAAGGTCCTGTGAGGTTCTACAAGGTCCTGTGAGGTTCTACAAGGTCCTGTGAGGTTCTACAAGGTCCTGTGAGGGTCTACAAGGTCCTGTGAGGTTCTACAACGGTTTACTTGGTCCTGTAAGTTTCTTTGAGGTTCTTCAAGGTCCTACAAGTTTCTTCAAGGTCCTGTAAGGTCTTACAAGGTCCTGCAAAGTTCTACAAGGTCCTGCAAGTTTTTACAAGGTCCTGCAAAGTTCTACAAGGTCCTGCAAAGTTCTACAAGGTCCTGCAAAGTTCTACAAGGTCCTGCAAAGTTCTACAAGGTCCTGCAAAGTTCTACAAAGTCCTGCAAAGTTCTACAAGGTCCTGCGAGGTTTTACAAGATCCTGTAAGGTTCTTCAAGGTTTTTTGGGTTCTTGTTCTTGTTTCGGCCTCGATCGGTTCCCACTAAGAGAAAGTCATGGATTCAGCAGCCATGGTTCTGTCTCCTCTTCAGCATCGACTCCACGTTCTGATCCCTCAGGTGGTCCTCAGGTTCTCCTCCAAACCTGCTGTTCTGACCCCCATTAGGTGGTCCTCGAGTTGTCCTTCAGACCTGCAGTTCTGACCTCAGATGGTCCTTCAGACCGGCTGCTCCTCACAGGACCACTAACACTTCCTGGTTGTCCTTCCTGATCTGGACTCTGGTCATCATGGGTCGGCTGAGGTGACCTTTGACCCTGTATGGACTCAGATCCAAACAGATCGGACCGTAGCGTTCTGCTCCGTCCTGTGTCTGCTTCGGACTCTTCTGGTTCTGATATCAATGTCCAGGTCCGGTGTAGTCTTACTGAGATCTGATCTAACCTGATGACGTCGCTGCAGGTGGACCTATCAGACCCATCAGAACCAGGCTCGAGGTGGTTCTGACCCGTTTGTTGAACAGTAGTAGAGCTGCTGCAGGACTGAGTGTCTCCTTCACCCCCTCCCCCGAACCACCAGGACGGGTCAGTCGGACTCTGAGAAAGGTTTAAATTAAAAATCTGAGCCGAGCGGTCAGAACCAGGGTCCAGCTGCGGGGGGGGGGGTCTCATTGGAACCAGCACAGTAACCCGGGTCAGCAGACGGTGTCAGCTCTCACCATGAATTAAACATCTCCTCCAGAAGATCCACCGCTCAGGTTTCCCTCTTCTGTTGCCTCCCGTCGCCACGGCAACCGCTGCCGTGACAACCCACCGGACAGGAAACAGGAGGAGCCACCGCCGCTCGCTCCGGTGAGGGCAACCAGGCGAGAAATTCATTCAGGTTTCACTTTTACAGCTCTCCTCTGAGACCCAAACCCTTCATGGTACCTGACCCAGAACCAAGAACTGATCCAAACCCTTCATGGTACCTGACCCAGAACCAAGAACTGATCCAAACCCTTCATGGTAACCCTTCATTTCATGCTTTGTCTTGTTTTTCATTACATTTCATAACATTTTTGGGTTTTTTGTTAAACATTAGGCTTCAAAACATTTTATATCCATCAGTGGTGAGCAGCACTAATCTGAGTCCCACTAGCCCTAAAGCACTAACTCTAATATTTATGTCCCCTAATTCTAAAGCACTAACTCAAATATTTATGTCCCCTAATTCTAAAGCACTAACTCACTGAAATTTTTAGCAAAATCTAATTTTAAATCACTAAAATAATCCATCTGACACAAGAAATGAGACAATATTTACTGTGTGCAGAATGTTGTCACTTAGTGCCGTTCATGGGCCAAATGGGAGTCACCTGCAGGCCACGTGTGGCCCACGGGCCTTGAGTTTGACATGTGACCTTGTAGGTGACACACACATGAACAAAATGTGACAGTTTTCACCCTCAGMTGTGAACAACAATGATGATCAACAACATTTACAGACCTCAGTTAGTGCTTCTAAATTTAGCCCAAACATTTAGCAACTGCTAATCCACTAATTAATTAAAAACTAGCTAAAGCACTAATGAAGAAATTAGTTTCCCTGTTAGTGCTTTAGAGGAACTGTGYCCACCACTGATATCCATGATGGCTGCACGAGGACAGAGGATAATTAATAAATTCAGTTTAAAAGAAACAAACAGAAGCAGGTTTAAGGGCATAAAATACCAATTTATTATTTGCACATTAACACAAGATTTCCCTGCAGGCTAAAAGATTTACATGTCACATAATAATAATTATAATAATAATAATAATAATATAGCAAGTGAAYGGCCCTCAGCTGAGTGGGTGGAGTTAGATCAAGCCCCACCCACTTACAACCTCTCAGGTGGGTTGTATCAGTGACCCCCCACCCCCACCCCCCCACAGGAACCAGAGGTAAAAACAAAATGAAAATACACCAAGACTGAACCAGAAGTGAGGAATCTAAAATAACTCATGTCTCCTGAACGTCAGGGAGCTTAAAAAAGATTAAAAGAGGTGATCCAGCTCCACCAGCACCGCTGGGCCTGGGCGGGGCCAAACACAGGCCCCKCCCCCAGCAGCCTGACATGAAGCAGAGCAGGCGGCTCTTTGACGGGTCCACGTTTGAACAAAGTACCTCGTTTGGATTTGAACAGCGCAAAGAGCCACCCCCCCACCTCAGAGTCTGGACCCCCCCCAACGATTGAAACTTTTAAAAAAGACAGAACACATACCGCTAAGACTAAAACAGACCCACTAAACTGATAAACATTTACCCCGAAAAGTTTATATCTTTCTTTCTGATAATAAATATGTCTTTGAAGACGATGGGGGGCATGCAGCGAGCGAACTACAGGAGGGAGAAGAGCTAAAGCTAAAAACAAGTCACTAACTGCACCTTCCCAACGACTGATCCCAGCAGAGAAACCTGAACTAACAGGTTTACACCGACGACATCTGATTACACGGTTGTTTCACGGGCTTCATATTGCTGTGAGGGATCCGGCGACCCTTTCAAAATAAAACGTATTGCCTGCGCTGGTGGCTTCCTGGCTCCACGCCAGCGTGCACGCCTTCAACAGGAAGGAGCCCAACTCATTCATAGTAAACCTGCAGCTTTACGGGTGGTTTATTACAAAGGGTTTTCTCTGAGCCGCCCCCCCGACAAGGCGTGCACGCCGACCATCCTGCAGCACCCACTCCCTCCCACCAGCGGGGGGCTCCACCTGCAACAGGCAGTGAGTCCAGTGTTTCAGAAGAAAAGCTTCAAAAATACAAACTAACTTATTTATTTATGAAGGTTCAGCTTGAAGAAATGCCTCGGTCCATAAATCCTGATTGTCTCCAGCGTCTGTCCGTCTGTCTGACAGGAAGCTGCACCTCTGCTACACCTCAACCAATCAGCTGAGAGSAGGCCTCACCTCCTCACCTCAAACACAATGCTACAAATTAAAAGGTAAAAGCCGCCCTGACTCTTCAGCTGGGAACTGTACAAGAGGCTCTGATGCCAGCCTGAAAATTTTATCACAATAACAACAACAACAACAATAAACAACATCAAAGGTAAACTACCAGCTCTAAACAACAGTTTAAAGAGAACCACCAAACGTCTTATATTAAACTTTTACAAATCTGATCTGTTTGATTATAAATGCATAAAGAGAGACAGACAGAGACACTAGCTGTGTTTCCACTGACCATGAAAATGTGAAAATTATTGCACATTTATAATATGCACAATAATAGTGACTGTTATTAAAGTCACGTGTGAACATGTTCACACGTGACTTTAATAACATTTCTTAATGTCAAACACACAGTTGTGAAACTGTTTCTGACATTAACAGAACATCAACAGTTTTGTGCACATCTGTAATGGAAACACAGCTGGTGAGAGAGACATGGAGACAGACAGTCCTCTGGTCTCCCAGTGTCCTGGTCAGTGCAATGAAGAGGACTCTCATCCCAACAGGGCCTAAAACCACCAGGTCCACAAACATCCTGCAGCGCCACCTTCTGGTCCAAAGACCCCAAGATCAACAGGTCCAACCAAGGACGCCCTGCTACACATCAGACCTTCACCTGCTGCTTCAACCCTCAGCTTGTAACTGACCCCAGTCTGGACCCCTATACATCCCCTCAGAGACCTCCAGGAGACCCCTCACTTCCTGTCCCTGCAGGTTGTCCCTCCCCCCACCTCCCCCCGTCCCTCTGCAGATGTAAATATATGTCTGTGTGAAAATAAAACAAGTCATCTGAGGCATTTACAGCAGTTTGTCCTTGATTTCCCTTTACAGTTCAGTGCCCCCCCCCAGAACACACACAGCAGTACAGGTATATACAGGTGCACTCACACACACACACACACACACACACAC